AATAATGAGAGAATATTAATATAACATAATAATCCTATTAATTTTAGTTAGTTAGTTAGTTAGCTCAATAATAATAATAATAATAATAATAATAACTGAACTATTATTATTTAAGACTTTGGTTCTTTTTTTTTTTTTTTTTCATTCTTCATATATATATAATATCTTATATAAGATATATATATGTTGAAACAATCTCCTCCTCACTCATTCCAATCTTCTTTATTATCTCCCTCATATATATATATATATATTTTTTTTTGTCTCTCTCCCCTACAAGGTTCTCTCATCTGTGCGGCTCTTTCTTGGTTCTTTTTTTTTTTTTTAACTCCCTAAAATATTTTTTTTTTATTTGCGGAGATTTTTTTATCGTGTCCCGAAGTTTTTCTTATTTTTTTTTTTCTTTTTTTTCTTTTTGTAGTTGTTGTTGCTTCCATTTTCTACCACCACTATTACTATTATTACTATTATTACTATTATTACTATTATTACTATTACTACTATTATTACTGCTACTACTGCTACTGTTTTTGCTGCCTTTAAACTTTTTTTTTTTAATATTTTTTTTTTATTTCCCCGTGCACGAGCTCTTTTACCCTATAACAGTTTTCTATTAATCTCGCTAATAATTAATCACTTTTTATTTTTATATTTTTAAATTTTTTTTAAAATAAAAAAAAAAAAATAAATATACACATTTCCGTATTTGCCAAAAATAACAAAAAACAACAAAAAACCTTCCAGCCGATCGGCCTAGACCTTTTTTTTTTCTTTTATTTCGTCCAACCAACATATATATATATATATATGTTTTCTTCTTCTTCTTCTTCTATTTCTTCTTTTTTTTTTGTTTAACCCTCAAACTCTCTATCATGGCCATCTATGTTTTTTCTTTTTTTTTTTTTAATTTATTTTATCAATCTCGTATAAATAATGCTGGCTATTTTATACCCCTTCCCCTTTTTTTTTTTTTTTTGCCATATATATTTTGAACTACCATGCTGTCTAACACTCTTACAATTCCATCATCTTTTTTGTTCTCCTTGAAATCCATCCCCTAACCTCATCTTATTTTTATGTCTACTCTTTTCTTCTTCTTCTTCTTCTTCTTCTTCTTCTTCTTCTTCTTCTTCTTCTTCTTCTTCTCTGATCCTCATCACCATCACCATCTTCTTTTACATCTTTGACGCCTTCAAAAGCCTAAGACTTGATCTTAATTCTCCCTGTCATTAATTTTGTGAGCGGGTACCTCAAATGTAAATATCCACAGATATGTACATATTTGATTGGGGAGTGATGGGATGGGATGAAACTTTCCCCTTCCCCTATTCAAAAATCTGTGTTTGAAATCAGGAGGAAATCACAAACCACATGGCTATTTTCTCATCAATTTATTTTGCTCTTCTTCAAAAAAAAAAAAAAATGAAAAAATATATACAAAAAAAAGTGACCCGGACTGATGGTATTAAACAGGAACACATTTTACTTTTTCTCTTATTGGTCAGAACTATTTTCTTTTTCCCCCCTTTAGACGAGGGATTCTACAAATACAATCCCCGACGTAGTAGCCATATATGTGTATTTTTATTTATGTATATTCACGTGACTGATTAAACCGTTTGTTTAATACGTAATGTTTGCAGCACCAGCACCAGCAGCACCAGCAGCACAATAGAATGGAGACTAGTCGATGTAGTGGGGGAAAAAGTATTTTAGTGCAAATGTTGTCCACCAAGTCCTACAGGAATTTTCTTTTTTTTTTTTACTTTTTTTTTATTTTGTACGGCCAGCGTGGTATCTTAAGAACTTTTTAAACGAATGTCTCAGAAAAATAACAAGTGTTTATTAAATGAAATTTTAAGGGGGGGGGAGGGATGTGTGGAGAGAAAAAGAAAAATAAGAAATAAGATGTCATTATGTGATGTACTAAATAAATATTAATAAGCAATTTTTTTGATATATAATAAATATATTATTATTATTATTATTATTATTATTATTATTATTATTATTATTATTATTATTATTATTATTTATCTCATTGAGAATTTCCTCATTTTACCCCAATTGCAATTCATATATATATATGTCACGTGAAGATTCAAACTTCTCCCCTCCTTTTTCCCTTCACTTTGTCCGACACATTCTAAAGTTTTAAAAGTGACTGTTGTTTACCTTGACTCAAGAAAAGACATTAATAAAAATAAAAATTGAAATTACTACTAGTTATTTTTTTTTTCTCTTTTAATAGTTTTTTTTTTTTTTTTTTTTTTTTAAAAAATTTATTTAAAAAAAATTTTATCTTTTTTTTTGACAGATAAGTTAGGTTTTAATTGTTATAAATTTAATTTAAGAATAAAAAAAAAAAAAAAAAAAAAAAAAAAAAAAAGAGATCCATTTTTTAAAGCCTACGTTTTATTTAAACGTAATCATGTTCTGCGTTAGTAACTTGTTGTCTATCTTTGGTGGGAACCTCCGACGAGTCATTTTTTTTTTTTTTTAAAATTCTTTTTTAAAATTCTTTTTAAATTTTTTTTTTTATTCCTTAAACAAAATTGGCAAACAACAAA